AGACAGGGCCTCATAATGAATTCAATATAAGAGTTAGAGCAATCAAATGGTTAACATCTCAAAGACGGACAATAGGCTTGGATCTTTCCTAGAATGTATTGCTGCTTTTTGAGAAGCAAACAACACATTCTGACTTACTTAAAATTTACAACCTAACACCATCATTAGCACAGCTCTCCTACAGGAATGCAAAAGAAATCTCAGTTTCTGGGAAAGCCCGAGGTCACTGCTGCCATGGGGACCAGGTATACATATCAAATTCCATCAAAGAGAGGATGATAAAAACTGCTATGTCTCAGGGATCAGAAATTCTATCAACAAAATAGCTCTCACCTATCTACCGCAAATTTTCAAATTTAGGTAAATTTTGAAGATTGTAAATAACATTCAGACACCTTCCTCATAGAAAGTTAGTAAGCACAAGATTTTACAGGCACAAGGAGGCCAGGAGTAAAGAGTTCTATAGAAATTGCCATCTTTTAAAAAAAATACATACTCTGCAAATTTCTTCAAAAAGCACTTTGAAACATACTCTGATAGGAACGCTTGTGCCTATAAACTGTTGCAGGCAGGGTTTACTATCAATTCACATCCTCTGCATACAGTATCAAATTATTTGAGTTTTCAGCAGGAAACCTATGGATTACGGATACTAGTTTCTGCACCAGTATTTCTATTTCTATACAAATGCAAGCAGTGAATATTCTAAAGCTAAGGTGTTAAAAGTTGAAATGAAGGTTCATTTCAATATGACAAACTTAACCTTTTGAAAGTTTTGTAAATACGGACTACATTGCCTTATAGTATTTATAAATTTATTTATAAATTTTTTAATTTATAGAAATTGACACACATAATGCATATTTCTTTTTATATTTTACTTTTCAAGAATTTCCCTAAGGATATACAAGTTAGAAACTGAATTTATTTAAAAAACAAACACGCTTGAGGCAAGCACTCTGTGTGGGTTTTCATAGTCCTAAACGCTTTCAGGCCCCTCAGCACCTCTCTGGCCAGAGAAATTTATTGGTTTTATCCTTATTATTTTTCAAAGTTAATACATTAATACACAAAGCCTCTTTTAGTAAGGATGCATTAGATTCTTTCCACTGAAGAGATAGAAAATTCTATTCTTCAATGTCTATTTTAATACAAATATCACACTGTACAGGGCATCAGCAAAACAACCAGAAAAAATAGCAAACCTTTATGCTACAGAAAAGATGAGAGAATAATTTTAATTTATCCCTCTACTTAAGCAGATATTCTAGAAATAACTAGAAATTCATTTGAATAACCAAGAAGGTGTGTAATAATAAGAGACTGATTTGTTTTTTTCCTTAAAAACACATGAAATACATTGAGGTCACACAAACAATTCATGTGCTAAGATTAAGTGATTTCATCATTGTGTTATAGCTTTTTATACAAAATTCTTTTCTAAATTTGGGCAGGTACTTTCCTAAAAATGGCCTCTAGGTAGCTCATCTTGCAATGGAAAGGAACCATTACCATATAGTGTCATCAACTCAGTCCAAACATATTTTGTGTGAAATCTGTCCAACTCTTTTTTGCTGTAAAATGAATCTTTTTGAAGTTATATTCTAAGAGCCTTCTGAATATTTCTGTAACATCTTATGCCATTAGTTGTGTATTTCCATCCATTTGAAGCTGTCATTTCCTAAGCACACAGCTAAACTTCAGAGGACTAAGGAAGTAAGGGCAAACCATTTCCAATGATAAAGTAAATCTTGGTTACATAGTCTAAAAAGCACAACGATAACCAAATTAAAAAAAAAAAAACCCTCATTGTATTGTCAGTTATGAAGACATTGTGATATTTCCTAAGAAGTTAATTTTTTTTCTCGACTCATTATTTGTGGTGTTTTTTCTTCTCCCTTCACCTGACTTCAGTAATTCCACCGACAAACTGCATACACAATTGGAAAACGGACAGACCATGTATGACAACAGAATTTGGACTCAGACTCTCTGGAGCAAGCTTCTCAGGAAGCCAAAGCACAACCCCAGCGGCAACGTGACCCATACAACCGGGATTCACTGCCAGGTTCCCTATTTTTTACCTCCTTCCAACTCAGGATCAACCAGAGGAAGTCAAATATGCTCTCCAATCTATGATCCAAGGGGTCTTGCTTCTAATTAGCCCACCTCTGGATTCCTCATACCAATAATCTCCGATCAGATTACACCTGAGGCCTTCCTTTTTTCCACTATGAAGCTTTTCCACTCCCCTGCCTGCCTTTGAATTTCTGCTGGATGCAAGCGATGGTGGTTGGCTTCTATAGTACACTCTGAATAATAACTTCCGCTTATTCTCATGTTGGTGGGTTTTGTTTATTTTCAGACTGTAAACTTAACTGAAGAAAAAAGAGGACATTTTATAAATAGGAAAATGATTTTTATTCTTTGATGCATGCAGTATTGGAGGGTTTTAAATTGTGCTGTGAAGGGGGTCAGATTTGCCATTAGGGAACTATGCAACCTTGTAAGTCCAGACGTAAGTGTTAACTGTTCCTTACTCTAAAGTCCTTCACCCTCTTGAAACTGACCCCCATGCAAGCCCACTAACTCCCCTAACTCCCTGACTATTGGATTTCTCTGTTCCCATTTTGGAAGTATGGAGAAAAGCTGGAAAGACTAGTAAACTGTGCCACAGGAAAATAACTGCGTTAGATGCTTGAGCAAGCATTCTTAGGATTCTCCTTCGTTAACTGTCAATATGAAAGTGCCCATAAAATTAATAAAGGATCAAAGGTGGGAACTGTGGTAGGGGAAATATATATATTTTATATTATATATGTATATATATTGTATTATATTATATAAAATATACATCTATGGACCAGGTGCAGTGGCTCACACCTGCAATCCTAGCATACTGGGAGGCCAAGGAAGGTGGATTGCTTCAGCTCATGGGTTCGAGACCAGCCTGAGCAAGAACAAGACTTTGTCTCTAAAAATAGCCGGGTATTGTGGCAGGCACCTGTAGTCCCAGCTACTTGGGAGGCTGAGGCAAGAGAATCACTTGAGCCCAAGTGTTTGAGATTACTGTGAGCTGTGATGCACAGCACTCTACTGAGGGTGACTAAGTGAGATTCTGTCTCCAAAAAAAAAAATATATATATATATATATATATATGTATATATGAAACATATATATATATATGAAACAAGTCATTATTCCCTAGCTTGCTTTCCTATATTTCTTACTACTTGGGAGTCACAGAGCTGAAAGTCATAAAGATTCTTAGCTGCCTTCATTGCTGCCATTACATTACCCTGGTGAACCCCAAGTCTAGGGAATGGCTGACCCACCCAGACCAGTGGCCTACACCAAGAAACTGATAAAACTGGACATTGTGAACCCCACCCTAGAACCAAATAGGCAAAAAAGACAATGTTTCACCTCTATGGTTCCACTCCAAAACCAGCCAATTAATAGAGTCAACTGCCTAGCTTTTTGCCCACCAAACCATCTTTCCAAACAAAACTTTTCTCCCAAATTTTTGGGAAAATGGACTTGAAAGCTTCTTCTCATTTCCTTACAGGGCACCTGTGATATTAAATTCTTCCTCTCTGTAATCCCTGCTGTCTTAATATAGTGGCTTCCTCTTGAGCAGTGGGCAATGAAACCGATTGGGCTGTAACAAGATTAGATCAGATCCTATGCTATGTCTTTCCCCATATTGTTACCTCTTTCTGAAATAACTCGATCTTTATCATTCAATAATTTCTCATTATTCAAAGGCTAATTCTAAGTTCCCTGTCTACTGTGACTCTTTACTAATTGTATCTTTTATCAGAAATAGTCTTTCATGTCTCTTTTGAAGGCTTACAAACAGACAGCTTTGTGTTTATTCACAAATATGCATTATCTAATCACTCTAAATAAAAAGCCTCTTGAGGATAGGTACTGTCTGTAATTAATTTAGCAAAACAAACTTTCAGATTTCAGAAGAGAATTTAAAATACATATGGAATTTCAGGATACACGCATAACTCATAATGTATTTTTCCTTGCACATCAGTGTGGTAGATTATCATATATATTTGGTAACCACTATATTCAGGCTTTTTTTTTTTTTGAGACAAGGTCTTGCTCTGTTATCCAGGCTATAGTCTAGTGGTGTGATCATAGTTCATTATAACTTATAGTTATATCATAGTTCATTGTAAGTCCTGGCTTCAAATGGTAATGGTCCTCTCCCAAAGTTGGAAATACAGGTGCACATGATTATTACTGTTTAGGGTATCTTTGTGTTGCCCAGTCTGGTCTCAAACTCTTGGCCTTAGCTGACAGGCCTTTCTATAAGCCACACTAGAGCACAGAGACAATTTCTGATGTGTTGTATTTTGAATCCAAGGCAGAAATGGATGTGCAGTGACATGAGGAGCATCACTACATTTATGCAAGGTGCTGAAATAGAAGCACGGACATCCCCAGATTCTTTAAGCTTGGCTTGTGCTTTGTATCAATCTCTAACAACAGAATCAAGCATGATAGATCCAGTGTGGTGTGTTGCATTTATGGAAATACCTTATTATGTATATATTAATTCACACATTTTACCTGCACATGAGTCAATAATGGAAACCTGCTTCTATATTTAACACTTTATAGGCTTTCTCCAAGTTGGAAACTCAAGTGGTTGTAAGCTGTAGATATGAAGACTCGTGTTAAACCAAGTATTTTCTAAGTGCTGCATTAAATCTTAAGACTAATTAAGTTACATGCACTTCAAAGTATCAGAAAAACCGGGTGTGAAAATAAAATTTTAAATAATCTTAAGATATTCTTTATCCTTGAATCCTAATTGTCAGATGTTATATTTCATATAATGAATTAAATATTTATTTTTTAGAATTGCTGAGTGAAGCTAAATGTCAAGGAAATGTGACTTCAACAGAGAATATTTCTTTCTTCTTTTGGATATATTTCATTTAATAATTAAAGCAGATAAACTGAATGCCTCAAGTACCTTTTCCAGACCTTCTTCCTTGAGACTGATCACATCCAAATCAAAATCTGTTCGTAAGCCATTGGTTTTGTTGAAAGTTATTCTGCCTGTGAGGCCTTCCCAGTGTGCCTTGAAAGCAGAAAAAAACAAAAAAATATTAAATAAATGAATGAAAAGATAAAACATTTTCTTCACAGAAAAATAAGAAAATTATTTTCATTACTTTTCATTAAGTTACATTGCTACAGACTTTTAAAATATTTTTATTTTCTCCTTCATTTTAAAGGATTTTTTCTGAATAAATTATCCTAAGTTACAATAAGTTAAAACTTATTGTAAATTTTTCATTTTATACAGTGCATTTTTCCAGTTATAAGGATTTTTTTATGAGAAATTTGATAGTATGTTTTAAATAGTGAACTGATTTTAGCAAAGTGAGAAGAATTTAGACACTAATTATGATAGTTGAGATACAGAATATCTCACTGAAGTTTATAGATAGAAATACAGTTATTAAAATATTACTTCTAAATTTATAATAACATGAAAAGAAATAGATGGCAATGAAAGAAAATGAATCCAGGAAAAACTGTGTTATACAACTTTAATTACAAACATTTACCCTAGAATAATTAACATTATTTCACTTCCTGCCAGTTAAACCATGAATATGGCTATAATTACTTCATATAAGCTATACTTCCTGTAAAAGAAGCTCTCCATTTACAAGGAAGTAGGAAAATAATAATCTAGTTATATATATATAAAAACATTGTTATCTCTTAAAGGTAAGAAAATATCTGAACTTTTTTAAATATAAGAAGTTTTCACCACTCGGTACCCATAGCACAGAGGTTACAGTGGGGCTACAAACACAGAGGCTGGTGGATTCAAACCCGGCCTGGGCCAGCCAAACAACAATGGCAACTGCAACAACAACAAAAAAAAATAGCTGGGCGTTGTGGCAGGTGCCTGTAGTCCCAGCTACTTGGGAGGCTGAGGGAAGAGAATCTTAAGTCCAAGAGTTGGAAGTTGCTGTGACCTGTGACACCATGCACTCTACCCAGGGTGACAGACAGCTTGAGACTCTGTCTCAAAAAAAAAAAAAAAAGTTCTCATCCTAATAGTTATTATAGCCAAAATACATGTTTTCCATTATTTGTCATTTTGCAATAGCTTGTTTGAAAAAATAGTTATATGTGAAAATTTAAAATCTCAGAATGTATACTCATTAACATTGAAAATAATATATACTGAGACCCAAAAGAAGTAAGTCCCAGTAGATAAAGGGTAACATTTCAATAAGGATAACAAATTAATATCATTATGACTCTATTTCTCAGACTCTGTGTGTTCTGAGGTACTTATATGAAGAAATTCCAAAAAGGTTTTAAGTTAATAAATTATAAATGAAATAGAAATCTTATATCTATGTATCTCTATGTACGTATTACAACATTCTTTCTCTAAAGTTAAACATGTATTAATGGGTCTCCAAAAAGGAAGAAAAATTATATTTAACTCAACTTTTTCTAAAGAAAAAAATTTCAGGTGGCTAACAAAAATACATAATAGTATAAAAATTGACAAAAGGATCAAGAAGCACAAGAATAGAAGTGGAAAACAGCGGAGCAAATCTGGGCCAGAGGGGCATTAAAATCGTACACCAGGCGGAACTGTACAACTCCTAACTGTATTACAAATTCAATTCTGCG